CCCAGATACAGCTGGCCACTCCCTTCTATGTGTGGAGCTTAACTAAGCAAATCTCTTACTATCATACTCCTAACTTTGTTTGTGGCTTTGCCTATCTTTCCTTTCTTTCATCAGAGTGGGAACTTCTTCAGGGTAGAGACAAGTCTGTTCATCTCTGGGGACACAGGGCCAACTCCACACCCAGGCGCCTATGAAAACTCCGGAAATATCACTTAATCTGAATGCGATTACGCGCGTCAGGTTATCTGAGTCCACACTCAGGGATCCGGGGCTGCTTTTTCATGCCCGCTTGCTGCACTCCCTCTTTCCCTGGACTCGAATCTGGGATCCGATCTGTAAGCTCGTGCTAGTGACCCAGTCCGGACTCCCAGCCTGGTTTTCCAGCCTGCCCACCCCACTGCTCGCTCCTCCACACAATCCAGCCCCTGTTTTTCTCCTTCCTGCCGCATCTGTGGGGAGCCAGGGTGGAGAGAGGCAGGAAGTAGCAGGAGTCCCACGCATCAGATGGCAAAGCACCCACGTTCTCCTAGCTCCCTTCTCTTACTGGCTGATGCAAGAAACGAGGTAGAACTCTGGGGGCCCTGGGGAAGGGAGCTTCCTGATGGTGGGCTGGCCAACACGAGGCACGCTTGGAGTGGTGACCGTCACTTGCATGGCGGAGGATGTGCACATGCACGCACGAACAGGAAGAGCCCAGACCTGATGTTAAAGACCTAAGAGCCTGGACTGCAGATGGCCCTGCGTGCCCGGAGGCTCCTGCACTCTGAATCAGCGTCTGGATGGGCTTCCGCGTTGACACCTATCCTCACCCACTCTCTACCCCTCTCTGTCCCTCCTGCGGCACATACTGCTCGCTGGGCGTCTATTCGGGGGTTTGAAGGCTGAGATGACAGTGGGGAACAAGGATGTGGCAGCCCCACGCCGCAGGCACAGAGACTGTCCTGCCACTTTCCCTTCTCAGCCGCAGCTGACACCCATCCTCGCTGCCAGGAGCTCCTCCCCGCCATCGGCCCCCGCCCCCGGGAGCTGTCCTTGGTGCTGACCTGGTTCTGAAAGTGGGTCCAGGAAGGCTGGTGCTGCCCCTGATGGGAAAACCCAGCAAACCCACAAAGTGCAGGCTCAGGGGAGAGCACAGTACACGTCCTTGGCGAGCACCACCAACCCAGGGCCAAAGCCTCTGCCCGGCACTCACGGTGAGCCCAAGCGGTGACACGGTGATTAGAGCACAGTGACCGTTGTGGGCTTTGCGGGATGGGCGAGGGTGCGGATGTCCTTAGCATCCTGTAGGGAAAAAATCCCATGTTTTTCCAGGCGGGACCATCAAGACATTTCTGAGTTTTGAGTAAAAGCTATGAGAGAATTCCACCCCCCAGCTGCTTAGAGCCCAGGAGTCTAGGCACCCCTGCTTTCCCATGAAGACAGTATGTTCATTTGCCACAACAAATACTACAGACCAGGCGGCTTTAATAACACAGACTTATGTT